CGCATCCTCTCCAGCAACTCATCATACTGTTGTTGTGTTCGGGGCATTTGGTGATTGAGTGGCTGTAAGAGTTGCAAGTTGCATGGCTCGCTGGTTGCCGACGCCTTAGGCGCGGAACAAGATTGTGGTTAGTAGTTGGAAGTTGGGAAGGTCAAATCCCACCGACTGTGCCTCAAGTCGGGCCATTTCGAATCGGGTAAGGGTGACATCGATTCGTTCCCCGTGAGGCACGTGGAAGTCGATGAGTTGTGTGCCGGAAGTGAGCTGGCGCTCATCTTCCAGGCGCTCGAACTTCATGCTTAGGAGGAACATGATGTAGGTCACTGGGTCGGTGTGGACCCCATCGATGTCAGCACCATAATTTATGATGTCAGGCGGTACCCTCATGGCGAGTGTCCTCGCTAGGCCACCTAGGCCGCGTTGTATGGCGGCCGCTTGGGCCTGTGGCGTCATACGTCCGCTTGTGACGTTGAGCCATGCGTTGACCTCATAAACGTACTCGCGGAAAGGTACGTTGCCTTGAGGGTCCCAATATGGGCCATGTGTTTGCCCATCGGTGCTGTTGTCTCCACGACGCATGTGTCCGATTGCTGCCCCCAGCGCGAACCATATGATAGCGAAGATAACCAGCCCAAGGCTGTGTAGATAAGGGCGGTTATTAGGCGCGTTGCCGCGCTGGGGTAGCGCCTTGTCGAGTCTTCGAGGCGCTCTATCTGGCGGATCTCTCCGCCCATGCTTCAGGTATTGCGCTTTTGGCTCGTTGCCGAGCGGTTGGTAATAGCGCAATGATGAAGCGTATATGGTACCGATATCGTTGTCTAGACGTCGTACCTCTCGTGTCGCTTCTTGCTCTTGGATAGATCCTCGTAAACGTACTGGGAGTGATAGCGCAGGGTGGTAGGTGGTCACGAAGATCGTGCCGAAGAGTATGAGGCTAAGAAGAGCAAGAGCTGACCACACGAGAGTGCGGCCAGCTCCGCTACCAAGTCGAAAGTGAGCCTGGTAACTCAAATAGCATCCGATTCCGTAGACATCGGATGGCAAATAGCGTCCGGTATCGTACTGACGTGGTTCAGTAAGAGGAATGGACGGATAAGATAGGATAAGATCGATGTATCGGTCTTTCCAGCACATAGCGAACACTCGCGGTGTCCGGGCAAATAGGGCGCGCGTGCCTTGAGCCAAAGGCAACGGCGCGCGAGCTATGCTCCCGATACTATAACATCTCCCAAAGAGCTACCCTTAAAGTACAATACCTTAGAAGGGAACGAGGCGAGGGGTGAGAATTACATACAAAACGGACGTAGGAGAAGGACGAAGAACACACAGGAATAGCAATGATGATGCGAACGAAACAAACTGACGGGCCCCCAAGAGACCACGGAGAGGCACCCAAGTCAGAGCCCCAAGAGGCCCCGAAATGGCTCCAAAAGGGCCCCAAGCTGGTTCACGAGGGGTCTAAACATTCCAAAACCACACACACACACGAATGCGTCAATATGGCTACAAGAGGCCCCGACAGGCTCCCAGAACGCTAGATCGGCGAAAGCCTTTCCCAAGAAGATCCTCCCTCCCTTTCCAACCTCTGCACGAACAATCAAAAGCATAAAAGATAAAGACCCCTACGAGGCCCACCCCACATCCCCAGGATGCAACCACAAGGCCTCTGGAACATGGCCCAGACGCAACCGCATCCTGCAATCACCCTGCTCGTTTTGGGATCGGCGGAATGGCGAAAGCCTCTTGGGCATGCAGGAATAGGAGTAGTGATAGTTAATGCGAAGGGGGTACAACGAAGAATGGCGGTGATGGAAGGGTGAGGAGAAGGAGGAGGAGGAGGAGGAGGAGGAACAGGAAGGAGATCATCGACAACATGGCAAATTACTACCGCACCCCTGGCTTTGGAAGGAGCGTCTGCGGCCATTGGTGTGGAAACCCTTCTCACGTGTGGTCAACGATCAATGGAAGACTCGTTCGACTGTGGCGAAATTCTGAGGGCCCACTTTGGCCGTCCTGGGGATGTCTTGGGGCTCTTCGAAGGCCTCTTTGACCCTCTTCAAAGCGTCCTGGGGCTCTCCTGGGACTTCTTGGGCTGCCTTGGGGTCCTCTTGGGCTGCCTGGGGCCCCATCGAAGCTTGGCAGCCTCTTGGGGCCGTCCGGTGGCCTTCTTAGCAACCTTGGGCCCCGTCTGGGCAGACTTGGGGCCAGTAGAGGGCCCTCACGGTGCCGTTTGAGGCCCTCTGGAAACGACCTTGATGGCCTCTTGAGCCGTCGCGGACTCTCGGAAGAAAAACGACTAGACTGAAATCATTGACGAAGCAGTGTGCTTAGCCTCTCTGGGGCTCTCTGGGAATTCTCATGGACCGCTTTTCGGGGGTGGACAGAACCCCCTTTAGCAAAACGTCGTTTAGTGAAAGCGACCTCGGGCCCAAACCTGGCGGGCGCAAGCCTGGAAAAGGACGGCCGCGGCGCCCTCTCGAGAACCGAAACCGGACAATTCACTAATCGATGCGTCAGGGTGGGGGGGTTCTGTCCACCCCCGAGCTTTCGGAGCGTCTCGGCAGACTTTGAGGCCCTCTGGAGACGATCCTGGGGGCCTCTTGAGCCGTCGTGGACATTCGGAAGAAGAACGACCATCCTGAAATGATCGCCCGGGATGGGGGCAGGAGGGGGGCGGTGCCCTAGCTGCAGTCCTTGGCATGAGCGGGGGGCCCCCCGGCTGCAAGCCCCGCAGGGGCGAGCAGGCCAAGACGAAGCAGTGTGCTTAGCCTCTCTGGGGCTCCCTGGGAATTCGCGTGGACCGCTTTTCGGGAGCGGCCATGAGGGGGGTGCCCAAGAGGGGGGGGCTGCAAATCGTGACCGGCGGCATGTGCGCGGCCCAGCGGGGGGGCCAGGGACGCAATGAAACAAGAAGAGGCGCCATGAGATCTGGGGAAATATCATGGCCCGCGCCATGATATCCACCCCCCCCTAGTTCGGGTCGGGCGAAAGGGGGGGATAGCAAAGGGGGGGTTTGAGAATCAGCTCGCGTAGCTGATTTTCCCGGCGCCTCCCGGCGCCGGAGGCGGCTACGTATCGAGGCATGGGCCCCTCGGTGGGGCCGAAACCAGCTGCATGCAGCACATTTCGTGCCCCCACCTTTCCCAATCCCCCCCCTTTCGCCCGGCCCGACTAGTCATCACCCCCCTCTTTTGCGCCCCCGACAGAAGCACCGCCGCCGAGAGTCGCGGAGGCAGGAGGAGGGGGAGGAGGGGGAGGAGGAGGAGGAGGAGGAGGAGGAGGAGGAGGAGGAGGAGGATTTCTTGGGGAGTCACCACCCCCCTCTCTGCCGCCCCCGAGCTCTCGGAGCGCCCCGAGAGCCGCCGGGCCACTCTCTGGGAGGCCCGCGGGGCGGCTCTCTCCGTCGCCCAGTTCCTCTCGGCCGCCCGAGGACACCCCGCCGCCCGCGGACACCTCGGGCCGCCTGGGGGCGATCTCGGGCGTGGGCGTTTTCCTAATTCAGGAAAGAGAAAAGTGCCACTACCACCAGCTAGGGGGGTGGCCGCTCCCTCCCCCCGAGCTGGTGGCACCTCCTTCCGGGAACTCTCTGGAGGCATGCCCGGAACGAGGTGCCACCAGCTCGAGAGGGTGGGACAGCCACCCCCCTAGCTGGTGGTAGTGGTACTTTTGTCACTGGCGACTAATTCGGCGCTTCGACATTCCCTGAGATCCTGGCGCTGCCATTTTTTCACAATGGGGGTTGAAGCTCGATTTCGGCCCCGGGGGTCCTCACAGACCGATTCGGCTCGAGAGATGGCGCAGAAAGACGGGGTCCGGGGCCCTGGGCGTGATTTTTTGAGGTGTTGCAACTTTTTTGCAACGTCGGATCTCAGGGTTGGGCGGAAAGGGGGGGAGGGGGGGAATCGGATCCGGACGATCGGCAAAACAACGAATGAGAAAACGGTCACCTTGGGCCGCTCGGGGGGCCCATGTCTGGGACCCCAGGTCCCCCATGTGCGGAAGGGGCAGCGGCCCAGAGGGCCCCAGGGCCTGGCCCCCGACGATATTGAGGCATGCGTATGTGCAGTGGGCGACGGAGAAGAGAACGTGATCGTTGAAAGGGACGGCGTCCCATATTGATGATCCCTGAATCTCACGCGCTAATTGCAAAAAGCTCTGCCCGAACCTACTCCTCCTCCCCCTCCTCCTCCTTCTCCTCTTCCTCTGTGAACCCTCGACCGTCATCCAATGAACGATTAGATTCGGAATTCTGTCGACCCGCCAATGTATTATCGGGCCGTTGGGTGTCGACAGCTTGAATCCAAAGAGTCTGCCACCGGAAAGAAAGCAATGAGGGAAGGCGGCTAACTGGGAGAGAGGAAGTGGAAAGGGAAACGCATGCTCTGAACCCTTGACCACCTGCGCGGCTTTTTGTTATCGATGTCCCCTGTGTTCCTGCGCCGGTCGTCGAATGCCTTCCGCCAATCCTCGCTGAACGCCATATTCTGGGCCTCGGAACGGTAACAGAACAACATACATAGTCCCGGCCTCCCCTATGCTATGCATCATCATCATCACCACCATCATCATCAGCATCATCATCATCAGCATCAGCATCGTCATCAATCATCATCATCAGTATCTGCCCGTCTGCTCTTCCTCCTCCTCATCCTCATCCTCCGACCCATCATCATCAGCATCATCATCAGCAGCATCATCAGCAGCATCCTCAGCATCATCATCAGCAGAACCACCACCACCACTCCCATCACCCATCATCAACATCATCGTCATCACCACGGTCACCATCGCCATCACCATAATCATCTACAGCATCATCCCAACTGCCACTTTCAGAACATATCTTCGCTGTCGTCATCCTCCTCGGCCCTTTGCATCCAATGTGCCTGCCTGCCCTGCTTCTCTTTGGGGGCCTCCTCCGCGTCAACCTCATTCAGAGCCTTCTCCTCCGCCTCCACCGCCACCCGTCTCCTTCTCAAGTCATTACTTGTGCTGCCCTTTTGTAGTCGAACTACTTGCTCTCAAAATGTCCACCAATCAGAGCTGCGAGCCGCCAAGCAATGCCGAGAACAAGAGAGCAAAGCCGCACGCCCGATTCGCCCGCGCGCTCCCGGGACTCCCGTCATCATCCGTTATGGTCGACGCGGAACTGGCGGTCGAAGTTGATGTCGACGTCGTGGTCACTGTAGTAGTGGTAGAAGTTGTAGAAGCCAGGCTGCTAGTAGTGCTTGAAGTTGATGATGGTGGCAATTCTGAGGAAGAAGAAGTGCTGCTTGCTTTGGTGCTGGTGGTGCTCGTCGTCGTCGTGGTTCTTGTAGTGGTCGTGGTCGGTGAGGCTGTACTCTCTTCACAATTGCATGAGACCTGATATTTCTGAACGCCCTCCGCCACCTCAGCAAACGAACGCTTGTACCAACACATTCCGCTCGCATCGCACTCGCCTTCACAAGAGCTGATTGGCGCCCAAACTCCATCACATAATGGCGACTCTGGTGACGAATCGTCTGAGATTGGTGAGGTACCTGTACCGTCCGTAATTGGCGCGGTCATACTCTCGTCACACTTGCATGAGACCTGATATTTCTCAACGCCCTTCGCCACCTCAGCAAACGAACGCTTGTACCAACACATTCCGCTCGCATCGCACTCGCCTTCACAAGAGCTGCTTGGCGCCCAGACTCCATCACATAATGGCGACTCTGGTGACGAATCGTCTGAGATTGGTGAGGTGCCTGTACCGTCCGTAATTGGCGCGGCCATACTCTCGTCACACTTGCATGAGACCTGATATTTCTCAACGCCCTTCGCCACCTCAGCAAACGAACGCTTGTACCAACACATTCCACTCGCATCGCACTCGCCTTCACAAGAGCTAATTGGCGCCCAAACTCCATCACAGAATGGCGACTCTGCTGACGAATCGTCAGAGGTGTCTGTACCGTCTGTAATTGGCTTGGCCGTACTCTCTTCACACTTGCATGAGACCTTGTATTTCTCAACGCCCTTCGCCACCTCAGCAAACGAACGCTTGTGCCAGCACATTCCGCTCGCATCGCACTCGCCTTCACAAGAGCCGATCGGCACCCAGTCTCCATCACATGGCAAAGCATCCGATGACGCTGACGGCACGGCACACTTAGTGCACGGCAACTCCTTAACTTTCGTGCCTTTAGCCACTTCTGCATATGTTCTCGCCACCTTGCACACTCCATCCTGATCGCAGATCCCAGAACAGTCCTCGTGGGGCACCCACTCACCGGCTTCGCACGGGGCGAGGCGGGTTGCCACGTCGATGTGGCGCCTTGCCCCTGCGGGGAAGAGCATGAGCGCGATGCTGATGATGAGCATACCCATAGCTGCCAACGGAGGGGCGCTGGTCGAGGCCTGGGCACCAGAGTATATGCTTTTTCGCAGAAAACGCTGTCGAGCGCTGCCGTCCCCGGATCCCCTCCACGATCGAGCCAGCGTGGCCGTGGAAGCGGGACGCGGAGGCGGGGGCACCAGAGGGCCGTGAGAAACGGGAAGAACAGGAATATCCCTGGGCGCGCAGGAGGGACGACAGCCTGGAGCAGAAAACGACGGGCGGGACGGGACGGACGCTGCAGTTCGCGCCGGGGCGCGGCCCTCTAAGAGCGCAGCGGGGGCGCCGGAGCGCCGGAACTCAGTTCTCGATGGTTTTCTTGTTCGACTTCAGCTCTTCCCTGTTCTGCTGAATGCTCTGCAATAGCTTACGTTTCTTCTGGTTTCCTACGCTTTTTGAGCGAAAATCGACGGGCGTGGAGATCAGAGGTGGCAATGGCAGAGGTGCCCGCCTCCTGTGCGTCTCCCCCACTCGTCCACAACGGCTCGCCCTTCGCGCCGGGTGCTGCTGTATACGAGCGTAGCAGTGCCACCAGCAGGGTGGACAGGCACGAAGCTTGAAATGACAAGATGACAAAGCGATCGCGAAGGGCATCACACGAGAACGAGTTTGCACGTCTGCCCGAAGCGTAACACCTAGACGTCTTCACACCCCATGTAGTCTGGCAGACTGCTAGGACAAAGATGTCTGGGGCGCGTGTTGGTAATAGCCAAGTGCGTTCAAACTATACGTGGCTGGAGTATGTTGAACTAGTGCAAAGAATTGCAAGCGGCGGAGAGGAAGGTACAGGTAGACTGCAATGCGATGGAACACCAATCAGATACATCGAAAACCGAATCCACTACATCAGCCTGGCAAATTCCGAGAACAACTCAGCCATTGGATAGGACGCTCGCTTCCGTGAGGCAAAATGAAGACTCGCCTTTGGCAGTTCCTGGTGAGGTAGAAATCAAACAACACACGTTGCGCAAATACACTAAAGTAACCAACTGTGTGGGCGGAACGGAATAGCACACCAAACTTGTACGTGGCTTCAAGAAGCACCAGGTACTCTCCAGTTGGAGAAGACGACCCCGACGTCATCGGCAGCGCCAACACATCCGCCGCCAGCCCCCCTGGATGATTGTGCTGCCTGGCTGAAATTCTGAGGTTGTCTCAAGATTCTCCCGCCCGAAATAGCATCCAGCCGCATGCATCCGCTCCCGAGGACCCCTGGGTCCCAACGCTTCCCTAGCGTTGAGTCGGGCCTGTCCCCCTACAGGCCGATTTTGGACAAAAAATACCCAAAAAATACTCCAAAAATGTTCAAAAATACTAAAAATAGTCCCCAGACTATTTGTTGGCTATTTTTGAAAATCCCCCCTGCAGAGGGACGGGCCCGACTTACCCCTGGCGATCTCCATGGACTCCAAAACCTCCGAGCTAGATCCCAGGACGGCTCCGGAGGGCGACCAAGGTCAGCAAGCTGACCCGGTATTACCTCGAGAGGGACCCAACAAACCCCCAATGAGACCCCAGAGGCGCTGAAGAGGTCCCAGGAGACGCTTATAGGGGGCCAAATGTGAACCCTACCCCTACCCCACACGATTTCCTAGGGCTCCCAACTTCGCGCTTCGCGCTGCGCGAAGCGCGAAGTGCGAATAACTTCGCGCTCTCGCGCCGCCTCCCAGGGGAGAAGAGGAGGATGAGGAGGAATCGGAGCCGAACCGCGAAGCGAGAAGAGGGAATAACTTAGCGCCCTCGAGGGCGCCCTTGCTCAAGAGGGACCCAACAAGCCCCCAATGAGACCCCAGAGGCGCTGAAGAGGGCCCAAGAGACACTTATAGGGGGCCAAATGCGAACCCTACCCCTAACCCCCACGATTTCTGAGGGGGAGGTAGGGGTAGGGTTCGCATGAGGCCCCCTAGCTTATGCAGACGCGAGAGGCGGCCAGCAGGCCTCAGGGAGGCCTCAAACATGATGATCAAACGTATTGGAATGCCGAGTGTGTTTTCTTTCTGTCGTATTTTGTTCGGCCCAGGACGTCCCAAGACTACCCCAAGACCGACACAAGCGGACTGAAACTACCCAGGACTGGACCATGGAGAACCAAAAGACGCCCGCTAGGCGGGCCATACAGTGGGGGCGTTGACCTAAGGAACCCTAAATAAGGAACGGGGCCCCTTTCTCCCATAAGTTGAACTTCGATTTCCCATGGAAAACCTCAGGAAAACCAAAGGCAAACTGTCGAACAATCAAGGAACGCCGAGCCCCTCCCCAACGAAAAGGGTTCCTTCTTCGGGGCCCCGGCTGTAGGCCATGACCCTCCAGAGCTGCCCTGAAGCCCTTCGAGATAGCCCGAGCCGAGGACTCCCCACCTGGGAGCTCCCCCAAAAAAGAACACTGGGAGCCCTCCAGCGAGCTCCCGACAGGCAGGACACACCATCCCCCGATGCCACAGGTTGCGGCCCCCTGTGGCATCGGCATGCTCACCACTGGGTTGGGTAAGCAAGCCCCCTGTGGCATCGGCATGCTCACCACTGGGTTGGGTAAGCAAGCTCTTTGCGCCTCGTCCGGAGGCTTGGGGGGCAACCTGGAGGCGCTTATATCATCAAGGTCTGGGGTGCCTTGGGGGCAGTCTGGGGATGCCAGGGGGGGCATCCCGGGGCTGCCTTCGAGGGTCTTCGGGCCGCCTCGGTATCGCTTGGACGTCCATTTCCCGTGCATTTTTCGGTTTCGTGCGTGTTTTTGTTGTTGCTCGATGGTCCAGGATGGTCCTCGATGGTCCCCGCCGAGAAAAAATGCACACGTCCGAGCGATGCCAGGCCGCCTCAGGGGGGGTGCGGGGGCCGTCCCGAGGCGAGCCCCCGGCCGCGCCGCTCCGAGCTGTCGCGGGCCACCCCCCCCGGAGGCCTCTGTCCCTGGACGGCCAGCAGGGCGCCGACCGGGGCGGCGCGAAGGCCGTCCGCTTGGGCGCCCGAAGTGGGCACGGAAAGGATGGGTACAATGACTATATACGCAGAAAGCATCTATACATCACCACCGTGCCAGGCCAGGGCCATCCTGGGCCCTGGGATGGTGTATACGCCCTCCTGGCCGAGCCAGGAGGGTCTATACACCATCCTGGAGCCCAGGATGGCCCTGGCCTGGCACGGTGGTGGTGTATAGATGCCTTCGTCGGAGATACCTACCAGACCACCCCAACCCAACCCGAAGATCCGAATTTGACCCGAATTTCTGCTTGGGGGGGGGGTACGGGTTCCATGTGTTTTCTCAATATGTTCCCCGACCCCCCCCCCTGGAAATCGAGGATGAATTTGGGCCTTCGGGTTGGGTTGGGGTGGTTTGGTGGGTGGTGATACAATGCCCAACAACAAATGTTGTCCCAGACCAACAGCGGCCGCTGTTGGGCAGGCGGCCTTCTGTCTCGAATGGACACGGGCCGCGGCGGCGCGGACAGCGAATCCTGTTCAAAATGAACGAGATCCGCTGTTGGGCATCGTACCCATTCTTTCCGTACCCAGTTCGTTCGTGCAGAGTCCAAAGGTCGGCCCGCGGCGGCCTCGAGCCCTCCCGGTTGGCAGAGCCGAGCTGCGGTCGTCAAACGGGAATTCGGAAGCCATCGTCCTGCGCTCTGCGCGCGCTCAAATTCTGGCCAGACTAGGCGCCAGGGCCTACAGTCGGAGTCTATTGGACAGGAAACGCGAGAGGGCACAAGACCCTTCTGAGGGCCACATTGCCACAGGAATGTCGGAGGCATGGGCCGCGAGACACAGGACACAAGGGTATCCTTGATTTGGCAGGGTCGACCTACTAACCTGGGCCGACTGTAGCGCGTAATCCGAAGCCGCAGGATGTCCGTGGCGCCTCGGGGTCATGTTCGGGTCACTGTAGGCGCACGCACGCCGAAAAATCGGAGATCCCAGAATTCGTCAAAGGGTCAGAGAGACTTCGAGAAACAAACTGAAGTTCGCTTTCAGAGTGCCCTCTGGGGGACTGTCAGCACCTCTTGCAAGTGGACGAGGCGAAGAGGAGGACATGTGAGACGAAGGCGGAAGATGCCGAATGGGAGTGGTGACCACGTGGAGGAAGAAGGAGGAAGGATGAGAAGGGAAAAGCGTGACGAGGAGGAGGAGGACGAGGAAAAAGGAAGAGGAGCACCGAAGACGCCTGCGGCAGGTCGCCACCGCCCCCCAGGGGCTTTCTGAAAGCACAGTGCATGGGCGACGATGAATGGAACACTCCCTCGGCGGTGGTGCAATACTGAAGAGGCCCAAGGACACACAAATAAATACACGCAAATCAAATGGTTCCCCATATGTTCCTACATTTTCTGGGTTTTTGTCTTCCCGCCCAATTCCCATGTTTTCCCATATGTTCTTGGGGATCGACGATTAATTGTGTCTGTGTGTTTTTTTACCTCCTGAAATACGGAAAACCCTTTTTGCTTTGTGGGCGTGTCTCGGGGCACGCCTGGGCCGTCTTGGTGGCCCCAGGGGATCCAAAAACAAACGCACGGATGGCTCAAGATCAGTGTTTCGATACGGCTCAAAAATCTGACGGCTCAACAGCATGTTTCTAGCCCTGGAGGCACGACCAATGTGAGGGATGTGCAGACATTGGCCGGTCGACGCCGTCTAGGGGCCCAGGCGATGAGGGGTCAAGAAACTTGTTCTGGCCCGCGGAAGGGCGGGGGGGGGGGGAATTTCTGAAGGTTGCCAAAAATTCTAGCCTTATGTCGGGCGTGTCCCCCTACAGGGGGATTTTCGACGAAAGTTTAAAAATACCCCCAAAGTACCCCAAGAAGGTCAAAAAATACTCAAAAAATAGTCCCCAGATTATTTTTGGATTATTTTTCAATTATTTTTGAGGTATTCATTTTTCGTCAGAAATCCCCCTGTAGGGGGACAGGCCCGACCTAATTCTAGCCCTAGAGGAACGATCCGCGTGAAGGGTTGGCCCGTCGACGCCGCCCCGCCTGGGCGTTGGGATGGGGGCTCAAACAAATTTACTCTGGCCCTGGAAAGGGGGGAGGCCTGGACGGCGGGGGTTCAACAATTGTCTCTGGCACCGGAGAAGGGGGGAGGGAGGAGGGAGGAGGTATTGGATTGTATTGCGTGGCATGGCGTTGCAGATCATTGCGCTGTGCTGCGATGGATCGTATTGCATTGCATCCTGCTGCGTTGCATTACCCTGCGTTGTATTGCGTCGGAGCGCATTGCTTTGTATTGTGTTGCATTGCATTGGAGGGGATGACAGAGAAGGAGGATACCAGAAGGAGGTAGAGAGGAGGGGAAGAAGGAGGAGCGACGAAAAAAGAGGAGTGAGGAAAGGGGGAGGCAGAAGGAGGGAAGGAGGAGGGAGGAGGGAGGAAGGGGAAAGGGAGAAGGACGATGAGGAGGAAAGGATAATAATGCTGCTCGCTCCTCTGGCCCATGTCATCGTCGTCGTCGTCGCCGTCGCCGTCGTGGCATACCCCGCCACCCGCGTCGCAGAGCGGAAAGTGGAGTGCCATCAGGTGCTCCAGGGTCCTCTGTAATCTGTGCATGGCGAGTGTCGGGTCGGGCGAAAGGGGGGGGATAGCAAAAGGGGGGGGGGGGGGGGAAAATCAGCTCACGTAGCTGATTTTCCCGGCGCCTCCCGGCGCCAGGAAGCGCCCATGTATCAAGAACTGGGCCCTGCGGAGAGGCCGAAACCAGCTGCATGCAGCAGATTTCGTAACCCCCCCTTTCCCTATCCCCCCCTTTCGTCCGGCCCGAGAGTGGGGTGGAGTCGTACTCGTCTTCGGACACCGCGGCGCTGCCACATGACGGGCAGAACGGAATGGTATCTTCTCGCCCCCGCCCAGGCATTGGCCGTGCGACCCGTGGGGCGGGAGTGCTCTTCCTGGGCCCCCGCGGCGCTGACGCGCGACGAGGCGCGCACTGCGCCAATTACAGCGCCTTGCGTTGCACTGCGTCGCAATGCATTGCACTGTGCTGCGATGCGCTGCATCGCATTGCATTGCACTGCATTGCGTTGCGTTGCATTGCACTGCATTGATCATTTTTCAGCCCTGGCCAAAAGTAGCTCTGCTAGTACGCCCCGGCCAGGTTCCAAAGGGCCATACCAGCAGGCCAAAGTAGCCGTAGTCGTGGCCCCACCGGCGCGGACTTTCGAGGATGTCTCGAGCGGGAGCTTTCTCCGCAGGTCGTATGAGTACGCCAAAATAGTTCTACTATCGGGTCGGGCGAAAAGGGGGGATGGCAAAACCTGGGTTTGAGAA